TCCTTTTAAGTGTTTTTCTCAAAGTTTTTTATACGAAGTATACAAATGTGCATATCAGAAGACAGGGGATTTAATCGTCTTTACAACGATTCCAATTTTTTAAAAATCGGTTGGAATTTTTTTATTTAAAATATTTTTTTTATAAAAAAGGTATTTTTTCATTTAAATGTGTTTTTTCTAAAATTTTTATATACGAAGTATACAAATATGCATATCGAAAGAAAGGGTGTTTAATCACCTTTACAACGATGTAATATTTTTTTAAATCAGTTCGAAATTGTTTGAAATATAAGGAATTTAATTTTTCGAAGACCTGAACTTTGACCCCTTATAGCACCTGTAATATAAGTTTGTACAAAAAAAGTTATATACCATTTAAATAAGAGCAAAAGGAGGATTACGTCTATATTTTTAGTTTTAATTATTTTTATGCAATAATTAAATATGATTTTTTACCAAAGGTCCTATTTCGCACTTCGAAGGCCCATATCTCGATTTCGGAATCTAACTTCGAAAAACGGAGAAATTACTCTTTTACCTATGACTCAATCTCTTAAAAGAAATGGTTTGGTTCAATACCCAGAAAAAAAGTTGATTTTGCCGTACAGTGTAGTTGAAACATGGTAGAAGTAAAAATATTAAAATTTAAAAAGTTACCTACGAAGAGAACTAAATAATTCTTTTGTTCTTTCAATCCCTACATGTGTATGTCTGAAGGTACTGGCCCAATGCAGGCTTGCTTTGCTTGCTTCGCTCCGAGAAGTGTCAAAAATTATTTGGAACATACTGAAATGTATAAAGGCTGGCCAAATGGCAGCTTTTCTTCACTTGCTTTAAGCGCCTCAAAGTTTTAAATAGACAAATGTTTTTTTTGAAAGCGTTTTGTAGGCTTTTGACAAAGAGGTATGTTCCTTTCAAAATACATAAATTCAAACAAAAATTTGCTTACTAAATTTAAAAAAGTCACAGAAAATGCAGGTAATTCGAAATGAAATAAAAATGATTCATTGTTTCCATATTTATATTTAACATATCGTTATCTTATAGTAAAAAGTCGCAAAGCCCAGTTTTACAAATTTTACACGAGAGGAAAAAACGTCTAGCTCTTGCTGCAAGTAAATCGCTTTTTTAAGTTATAGTTTTTTTTAGTAAATGTAGATATAGATATGTATGTATCATTATTATCATTTCTTTTAAATACAAACATTATTTCGCATTAATTTAAAAATAAATCTGAAAGTTTTTGATAAATTTTTTTGAGTTTTCTAGGAAATAATTATTAACGTTAAGGGAACAGACATTGACTTTTCAACCAGACAGCTGGATACTTTGACAGCGTTCCAAGCCACCATTCGGCCAAGCAAGTTTTCAAAGTAAATCAAAGCAAATTGAAGTCAGCAAGGCGCGCAAAGCAAGCCTGCATTGGGCCAGCGCCTTGACTCAGAAAGTTTTACAGTACTGTACTCCGCAATGAACGATTTTCATCTCCAGAACAAGCTTTTAACGCGTTCACATTCCACGTTTTTGAGAATCACTGCTTATGTAAAAGTGTATATCAGGCGACCCCAGAAACTCCGAGCAACAAATTTCAACTGCATCCAATCATTTTACAAATTTTTGTCCGCAATATTAGATTTCAATTTATCATCGTAAAGTAAAGATTTTTACCGAATTTCCCAGAATGTAACGAATTTTTTTACCCAAACCAATTTTGGAGAGAGGATGAAAGAATTGTGAAAATATATCCGCCATTTTGGAGTTTAAAAATTCATAATTATATTCCTTATCACCTGCCCCCAAAACCCCCGAATAACGAGTTTCAAGTTATTTCAATCATTTTCAAAACTCTGTTTGGCATATTGGATTTCAAAAAATGCCACTCATCATCGAAAAGTAAACATTTTATACCAAATTTTGAAGAATGTAATGTGACTTTTTTACCCGGACCAATTTTGCAGAGGGTGCTCCAGTTGACGAAAAACGCCTCATACGTAAGTCGTGCGAGAGAATTTGTTTCTTTTTTTTCGCTGGTTTAAAGACTTATTAAGTGCCCCTCGTATTTTTATATACAGTGCAATCCGGTTATAATGGACTCCACGTGACCGCGTCAAATTGTCTATTATAACCGAGTGTAGAATATAATATTTTTAAGTAATAAAGAAATAATGTATGTACATGTATAAATACAAAACTGTATACTTCTCATGCAAGGTAAATGCCCTTTTTCCAGATCAAAAACCAACCGTCACTTACAATCTACCGCAGAAGCTGATTGCCTATTTTGACAGATTTCGGTAAACCAATGAACTTTGTTGAGGTATATAGACATTTTCTGTTGCAGAGACGGTTGCTTCTCTTTACTGAATTCGGGAAATTACCGAACTTTGTTTATTGCAGAGATTCTTTTTTTAAATTTGGCCTTGACAGCCCCGGTTATAATGAACAAAACCCGATCATAACCGAGTTTATTTTAACCGAGTTTTATTTCATATATTTGAACTGGTACTTTACAAATAGGTCTATAATAACAGAGTTTCCATCTTAAGCGAGTCCATTTTGAAAGGACTACACTGTATTTTTAGAAAATTTTTGAAAATACCTTGACTTTTCCAAATTTACTTGGGTTTGTGATTTAATCATTTTGTTTTTGAATATGTGTGTACTAGGGTTGTTTCGAATGTCACATTTTTCACTTTCGCGAATGCGAATGTGCGAAAGCGAATGTTAGGAATAGCATTAAATAAGCTATAATCAACTTAAATTTCCTTTTATAAATTATACAGTGTTTTAATCTAGTAGTCAAAGTTCAAAAGGAGCATATTAAATTTCAGGAAAAGTAATTTTGCTACCTTTTCTCCCATGAGGCGAATTCTTAGAGACTCGTACATAAGGCCGGCTACACCGAACAATTGCTCACTTTCGACGCATAAAGTACTAAAATTAACTAAACCATGTAACTCTTAATACAACTACGTAAAATATGAATAGAACTGAAATATTTTACAGGTCATCAAAAAAAAAGACCACTTTGCAAACGTTAACAAAAAATGCGAACACATTTGAGAGGGTGCCCAATTAGATCTACATATTTATAGCGTGGCGACGAATAACTGTTACCCAGGTTTTTTTTGAGAAATAAAAGGGTCTTTTATAGATCTTGCGAAAAAAAGTATTTTATTGTTACAAATTTGTAATACAAAAAAAAGAAACGTGAATTTAAGTCCTCAAAACTTTAATTCGCTAGCAATATGGTTGTATTGGAGCTGCAATTAATGCGTCAGTGTTACTTTTTATGAAAGAGCATCACGTTCTATGCGAAAAATTGGGCGACTCTCCCTTCATCAAGCGTTCGAGATGAAGAAATGTTGACAATTAATAATAATAATAATAATAATAGATTGGTGCTTACACATATGTTAGTGTTTGGCCGAGCTTCTCCTCCGAGCTTCTATCCGTCCTGTATTATACGGGACAGTCCTCTTTTTTCGTCAATTGTTCTAGTAATTTATTTATTCCATACGGGACGCCAAAAGTTCTGTATTTCTTTTATTGTCCCATATTTGTCCCATATTCGGTATTTTGGCGCCCTAGCAGCTCATAAAAATGACATGCCTATGAACTAGTACTAGGTTTTATTTTAATATGGACGCTTGTGATTCGAATCAAGAAGCACATATGTAAATGACGTTGAAAAACTGGGTATTTGTGAGTAGATATGAATCGAAATTAGACGTTAATGATTATTGTTCAAATTTCTGAAAGAAATTGCACTAGTATTAGGCTTTTCAAAGGTCTTTTCAACGCATCTCACGATGAATATTTTGTATGGAGCAAAGCATATTGCAGTAGTAGAGCAGCTGATTTTCCTTTTTTTTGAGAATCTCGTCTTTAAATTGTAATTTTCTTTACATTTTACTCAAGGCGAATTAATATAAGGTGATAGCAGAAGTACAAAAACAAAAATTTACATGTATTTTGTTTTTGCTTTGGCGGCGTAAACTGTCAAAATCTGTAAGAGTGTGTGTAGAAATTCAAACAAAATTTTTCAATTTGATATCAGAAGCCGTGCGGCGAAACACATACACAAAATCAGCTGAGCTAGTAACAGCACCTTATATAAATTCGCCTTGATTTTACTCTAAAATTTTTAACTTTGTTTATGAAAGGGAAATGGAACTCTTCAAAGGTACGCTTTGCAATTCAGCTCGTTCCGCATGCTATTCACTGCATTGCGCTTGGCCGAAATCAGAGTCTCCGTGGAATAACTCGTGCTTCAAAAGTATTAGGATATTTTCATCATGTTTTTCTGCCTTGGAATGTTTGCATTTTTAAATTCATTTGTAATGCTAACTAACATAACCTTATCAGTCCGATTCTGAACAGAAACTCCCCGGGAGTTTTTCTTTTTTCCCTTTCCTGCTATCATGAATTTTTATTCACTCCCTTTGGATTTTTTATTTTAAATGGCGGAGTTGAGCTGCCAAAAAAGTGTCAAAAAGCTCTTTCGAAGTTCGAGTTTCCTCCTCCCAAGTTTTCGGGAAAATGCTATTCCCTGGGAGTTAATTATTGGAGGATTTATTGCTCGGGAGAAACAAATTTTTTGCAGCACAAATTCCCCGGGAGTATTCAGAATTGGGCTGCATACTTTCACATAAATTTTAATTAAAAAATCCCTTCTAAAATGTATGCAGGGAAGCACTTTCTTCATACCTTCTTGGATAGGCCTTTTAGAATGGCTTCAGTGAACCCAAATTATCTTGTGAGGAATTGCTCGTTTAAAGTAATATTAATAGTTATAACATAAGACAAAGCAATCGTTCAATACGAAAATGCTCGTGCAGTGCACTAGTACATAGCCGCGTTGGCTATAAAACAATTTTTTGGTGCAGAACTATTTTTTTGTTATTAGAAAATACATACATACATACATATGTACAAACGTTTTTCGAAATTTGTTTCTAATCCCGATTATTTTCTACTCTCTCCCTTACGTTCTTAAGCATCGAATGCAAACACAATTACAACAACAACTAATTTAACTGCCACACCCATTGTGATGTCGACGCAAAAATTGCAATTAAAGACGATAAAAACGCCACAGCAGCAGCAACAACAACAACAACATGCACGTATAATAAATCAAGTGACGGCGACATCTACATCCCAAACGCAAACGCCACATCAAGCGCAGCAGCAGCAACAACAGCAAACGGTTATTATAGGGCAGCATGTAGCCACAGCGCAAGCGGCACAGCAGGCGCAACAACAACAACAACACATACAACTTGCAGGACGCACCGTAACAACAACGGGTAATGCCAATCTAAATCAACAACTTATTTCGGCAATAGCCAAGGCAGCTAAGCAGCAACAACAACAACAACAACAAGCGGCAAATCGACGTAGATCGGCAACAGATGTAAATAAATGAATGTCGCTGAATATATAATGTATATGATTTAGTAGACAAGTAGTAAGTGGAGCAGCAGTAGCAGCAGCAGCAGCGGCGGTTGGCTGAATTGAGTCAAAAGAGTATAAGTGAGAGAAACTATATAAGCAAAGCAGTATAAGAGAAAAGCAGATATTAATATAATAATAATAATAATAATAAAACAGAAAAATTTAAGCATAACCAATTATATTGCAAGAACAAACAAGATACGAAAGTTTAGGCTAAGGTATTATATTATACTTTACCCTAAATAATATGCGTGTAATTCCTACTTCCTCCCTTCCCCTCACTAACACATAGCCCCAGCCCCTCCTACATGCATATACATACATTCTATATGCATGCAAACAATATAATTATCGGCTGCCATACTTGCTAAAGCGCGCACGTCTCTCCCTTCCAACACATACAGACGCACACTGTTAACGGCCACCAATTGATTTGATTTAAATTAAATTGATTTTTAAAAAAGTATAAACGTTTCAGTTAACGAATTTCACAAAAATCTCTAGGTGGCTTATTAATAATAAAGCCGGTGAATGCATTGGATTGTACATACAATAATTAAAGATTAATTGGTAAAGTATTTGAAATTGATTTTTTTGCAAAAATAAACCTAAACAATTATGAACAATGGAACACATAGACAATTTTGATGAATTCTACACTACATAAGATCAAAACTATTGGCGCGCGCGAAAGAACTTGGCATAATACATAATTTTAGTGATATATCTTAAAACTAAAAGCGTCCAATTGAAAGCATGTTTATCGAAATTTTATTAAAAAAGAAAAAATCAAAGAAAACACTTAATTAATTCGTTTAAAAACTCTACCCTAGTCATTACAACCTACAAACATACATATATGTATGTATGTGTATATGTTTGTTATTTAAGTGGCTAAAGTCGTTGTTAGTAGTTATTTATTAAGCACCACATCAAAAACGTAAACAAATTTAACCAAAAAACAAAAATAATATTCGTGCTTTTCTCTGAAAGTATGCGGCGTCACTCAACTCTCAAAATGCCTCCTCTTAAAAATTAACTTATTTTGGGCGCCTGGATTTTGCTGTATGTATGTACATACCACGTGTAATGTAGCAGTACGAAAAACTCGAATCGAAAGTAAAATTAAGTTAAAAACTAAAATGAAAGATTAAATAACAAAACAAAACAAAAAACAAGTTGTCGCGCAATCAGTGTAGTGCTGTGTTCTTTTTTCGTCGTCCATCGATGAAAAATGTACTATCTGACTGCTGGGAGCCAAAAAGTTGTTTCTGTTGTATTTCTCTCTCTCTCAATTTCATTTTTTACGAATCGAGCACGATAGGTGCAAGCTCTACAAAATGTATCTGTATTATACTTTGCTGCTCTAAATTTGCATGCGCTCCTTGTAGAAGAACAAGTTCGTGAAGGATCTAAGAAAGCGGAAAAACATTGCATGTGCATGCGAAAAGCGCCGAAAATAACGAAAACGCACGACCGCAGCATACTCAATTTTACAATTGCTTAGCAAAAAAAAAAAGATAAAGTGAATCAATCTACATTTTTTGTACATACCCGCAGGCAGTATATATGTAAATATGTATGTATGTATGTATGTATATGCATTCAAGCATACGCCAACATACTCAATTGAATAAGAATATATTTACATATATACACACATACATACATGCATAGTACATATAATTAAGAAATGTTACACTTTGGCTATATTACATCAATCAATTTTTAGCGGAGTTATTATTTATAAAGTTTTTTTTTCTTAGATTTCGCATTTGAGTACTAACGCTGTGCGAAAAGTGTCACACATACATACATATGCATACGAGTATATGTATGTGTCCTGGCACATAGATATTGTACGCTTGTAAAAAAAGAACAGTTATTTCATATGTTACGTTAATTAAATACATAATAAATTATCTTTAATTATTTAATATTTGGCAATTAATATACAATTAAGCATAAATAATAAATACATTTAATTGAAAACAAAAAACATACAAATACAAATATCAAGCTAAACGAAAACAAAAAATACAAACAAATGCAGCAATAAATTATAAACAAAAAACCCAAAATTAATAAATAAATATAATTTAGAAAATACAAACAATTATGAAGACTCGCATTTTTCACTCTTTAAGTCGAAAACGTTTTCTTCCGTGCAAGTCGTTATAATTTTTTTTTTTTTGTAATTGAATTATTTTCGGAAAACGTAACGTATAATAATTGCATAATAAAAATCAAAAACAAATTGTGTCTTATTTGTTTAATACGTTTTTAATTACATCAGAGCAATATTTTTTATTATTTTCGAAATGCTTGAATGTCTATGGGCCATTTTCACGATCTCTGGTTAACTCAGGGGGTCTATAAAGGTAAAGATGTTTAACTAGACGTTAGAGTTAACCAGAGATCGTGAAAATGGCCCTAAAAGACCTGCCGTGGTGATCAATACATATGGAACGAAAAACAAAATTTTACAAAGCCTGGCCTAGGAAAGTTTTTAAGGTAAAAACTGCGTTTCTCTTGGTTAAGTTTAATATCTCAGTGCTGAAAGCTTATGTAAATGAGACAATGCTTAGATTTTTCAACAAAAATATAGTTTTCATCAAAAAAGTTGAGATAGCTAATAATTCAATGGTCATAACCAGAAGAAAATAAGCTAGTAAAAAGCAATTTTAAGCGCTTAGATAAGCAGTAAAACATTAGTAAATATGCTCGAAAAACAACAACAAAAGTTTAAGTTCAGTTTAATGTTTTGTTTTTTATTCAGTTTATTTTAGTATTGAAAATTTACATTGAACAATCAACCAATGTTGCTTGATATTCTCAAATAGCAAAGATCTGCTCTGGTCGTTATAATTTTTTTTTTTTTTAATATTCATTATTCTCCATTTAAATATAAATTATCTTTATTCACTTCAATAACACCAATGCCTTCCCGTAGAGACAAAACCTTTGGTTTCAAATTTTTGTATCTAAGCAGAAATGCAATTGAAGTTACGATTTAATAAAAACCAAATCCGTTTTTATGTTATTACGTATTTGTAAACTTTTCTTTGATTCGACAAATCAAAAAAAGCTGAGGAAATGCTCAAGAAAAATTTACTGAGCCAAATTTTCTTAAGTAGTACGGATTTCTTTAAGAAATTTTCTGCTCTTCCTACTATGGTTTTCTAAAGTACCTTTTACTTAAATTTATTTGAACAAATCGAGTGAAAGGTCTGAAATTTTAAGAAAAAGCATTTGCTTAGATTTTATGCACACGGCCTAGGGTGATTGACTCGGTTTTTCCAAACCGTTTTTTTTTTTTTTTTTTATATCTATAGTCGGTTTTTTTTTTTTTAATCTTGATTTTACGAATATCGAATAATTTGGGGACTAACAGTACACCAATATTCATCCTATAAATGAATGTTTGGAGCTTTACCGTTTTCTACATGTTTGGCCTAGCTCCTCCTGCAATTCGTGCTCTGCTTCTTGATGTTGTGGCACAAACGGATAGATCTACACTATTATTCCACCTCCGAAGGGTTTTTATGACAGAAGTACACTCATAGGTTTGCCATTGTATGTCGCGGGGGGCGGCCGGTAGTTGAAAAAAAAAATCTTGATGCTCCTGGGACCAAAAATTGAACCATGGATCTCCGGAGTGACAGTAGGCACCTCGGCTATGGAGGCAAAACCGAAAAGGTCAGAAAAAATGCAACAAAGTATTAAAAAAATAAAGATAAACCAAACGTGAATTTTTTATTGATTTTTATTTGATTTACTTTCTATCTAAAAATAACTTTGCACTTATTTTGCTTCGCTCTTTTCTAAATTAAAGCTATCTTTACAGGGCTCCCGAGAGTTTGTTCTCCGGGAATTTTGTTTTTCCCGAAAAAAAAAAAAATCCTCCCAACTGTTAATTCCCAGGGAGAAGGAAATTCGAACTTCGAAAGAGCTGTTTGACAGTTTTTTGGTAGCATAACTTCGCCGTTTAAAAGAAAAAATCCTCAGGGAATTTTTATTCATAATAGGGGAAAGGGAAAAGAGAGAAAACTTCCAGGGAGTGTCTGTTCGGAATCGGGCAGATTGTAATTTTTGGTCATGACTTCATACCAAAACAAGCATTTTCATTGTATGAAAACTATGTAAAGTAAAACCGGTTTATCCGTTTTTCCTGTCAATTTCCAAATCGGGAACCGGTTTTTTTTTTCTAATTGCAATTTTTCGAATAACTCGGTTTTGGAAAAAATGCGAATAATCGAACACCCTAATATTACCCATTGTTTTCTAGTTTTACAGATTATAAGTAAACTCTTCAGAAGCGGTAGTTATTTCAGTCAGTTTCGAAAAATCAGCCAATGAGCCGACTAAAATATCATCATTTAAAAAAAGTATAGAGCCAGTAATTCTCAAATAAGCCAATGATATGGATATAATTTTAGAAACGTAAATGTTGTTCCATATGTTTTGACCACCACTGTATACATCACCCTCATTGCGAGAGTCGTGTCGAATGCAAGTCGTTTTTCGAGAGTCGAATCGTATCGAAAATTTCACGTCATTGCCTAAAATTTCCACTCGACTAGTGTATTAAAACGGAAAAACTTGGCAGCACTGTATAGTTTTCGCAAAGTTTCGTCGTTTACTTTTTTTAGCACGACGGTAAACAATGCCAATGTTGTCGAGTCGTACAATTTAGCCTAATTTGCGACTTACGCAATGAGGCTGAATATGTATGCTTTTTCCACCGAGCCGGCTCGACTGCAGTTTACCCTTAGCTCATTTACAGATTTTATTTAAACGATAAAGGTCCATAAATACTTGATTTTTTTACGATTTTATTACGTAGGTATGCGTCTTTAAATAAAAAGCAGTGAGGCCTAAAAATATTGTGGGCAGTTTAGAGCATTTAGAATATTTTAACTTTTGACAGCTCTTGCTACATTCCAAAGCCTCACTATTCTGGTTAGGCAGTTAAAGTATCACCGAATCCATCGTTTAAAATCTACGAATTCGAATGCCTGCTACGAATACGAAAAAATTTATCACTGAATCCGAGTGAACTCGAAAATATCATTGCCAGCTTCGAATGCTGATTCGAAATCAGCTAGTGCAAAGGAAACAATAGACATTTATTTATGTATGCCATTTTGCTCACCCTTCGCCAGCAGTTGCAATGGTCGAGCGGACCTTTTTTTTTTTGTTTTTAACCGACTTCCAAAAAAGGAGGAGGTTATCAGTTCGTCGGAATTTTTTTTTTTTTTTATGTATGTTACCGCATGACTTTGGACCACGTCAACCGATTTCGATAATTCTCGGAAAGTATCGGAAAGGTTGTCTGAGACACAACACAACACCACAGGTGATCCCATACTAATCTGGTTAAGATCCGATCAGTGGATCATGAGATATATGTATATATATATATTTTTTTTATATGAGTGTTGAAGTCGCTTTTTTTTTGCTAAAAATTACTTGTTTTATTTGATTTTTGTTTCTTTTTTTTAATGTTTTTTGTTTAGCTTAAATTTTACGCATTTAAAAGGAAAAATATTTTTTTTAAATTAATTTTTATGATATTAAAGTAATTGGGGGTTCTTTCACAAAAAATATTCACTAATAAAATTAGCAGATGAATGTATGTATGTACAAACATGCACATATGTATGTATGTATGACATTGATATTTTACGTCTTCGTTTACACAAATATATGGAATTATATCAAACTTATAACAACTTTGGAGTATAATAAATATTTATTATTAACAATAATGCAGCTTTTT